ATCATGCGGATGACGTGCTTTAATTTGCATTGAACCTAAGATAGCTGACTAAACGCTGCCGTCTCTGCTTCATTTATGCTCACATTTGTGAAGCAAGGTGTGGCTACCCAAATGTCACATTCAAATTCATTCAAAGCAGGCAGAGTACAGTTCACACCGGGAAAAACTTTGATCTGTAGAATGAGCATGTGTTTAATTTTAAGTTGTTAATTTAAAAAAAAAAAGAAAAAGGTTATTCTGCCACCGAATCTTTCCTTTCCAATCCTGGTTAAATCACCAAGTGGTTTACTCCCACCTCTCACCGTTCAGCAGCCAGAATTATTTGTTGTTACTCTACATGAGCATAAAGCTAACGCTGCCTGTTTAGGTGGGGCAGATGCTGGAAACAACAGTGAGCCACCAGGTGCCATTGTGTGCTGGATCAAAGGGAGAGGGCTGGAAATGGCTGAATTACTGCTGATGTGTTGTTGTTGTTGTTTCCTCCACCCAGGATGGCCCCTGAGGTGATCTTAGCCATGGATGAGGGTCAGTACGACGGGAAGGTGGATGTGTGGTCACTTGGCATCACCTGCATAGAGCTGGGTAAGAGATGGCCATACAGTGCTTTTTGTGTTCACAAAGCTGAAAGTGTCCGGCCATTTACTTTTTTCTTTTTTTTTTCCTTGTTCTTTGTCTGCCTCTCCTTCTCTGTCACGCTATGTCGTGCTTTGTGATTCTGCAGCGGAAAGGAAGCCTCCTCTGTTCAACATGAATGCTATGAGTGCCTTATACCACATCGCCCAGAATGAGAGCCCTGTGTTGCAGTCTAATCACTGGTGAGAGACGAAGCTTTGCAACCGACCTGTGTCTTTCTGTAATTTATTTCACAATTAGTTTTGTGTTTGTGTGTGTACACATAAAAAAAATAGGTTTCATAAAAATGACTTGTTATTAAGGCTTTTTGAACATGGGGATGAACTCACACTTTGAGTTTGCTGCCATGCTCTTATAGATCAGTGTTTAAATTGTTACATTATTTGAATCATCTGAGGTAACTGTGGACAAACCCTTCAGTATTTCTCATGAGACACTTACTGCTGTTTTTTAACCAGTTTGTCTCCACATCAGGACATTTTTAATGCTTTCTGAGTTTTAATTGAGCCAACAAATCTCTCAAGCTGCTTTAACGGACTATAACATAATTAAGATTATTATATGTGTAATAATGCAGTATGCATTGCTTAAATTATATGTATAATCATGACGTTTTGGCAATATTTAGGTCGGATTATTTCCGCAATTTCGTGGACTCCTGTTTGCAGAAGATCGCCCAGGACAGACCTACCTCTGATGTGCTGCTCAAGGTACAAACAGCCATGTGATTAATTTTTAACTGAGAGAATAGAATGAAAAATATTTTCTTCTATTTCTAGCAGTTTTTTTTCAGGTTGTTGTTTTTGGACAAATAATGAAATTTGTGCTTTAAATTCAAAACAGATTTTTAGGCTTGAAGGAAAACACTGAGTGAAGGTTCAGTGTGCAAGCAAATAATCACCAAGGAGGTTTTTTCTGTTGTTGTTGTTGTTGTTGTTGTTGGTTTTTTGTTTTGTTTTTTTAATGAAAAACAATGATTTTATTTTACTTGGATGTATAATTTTGTGTCAGCAGTGATGGGCATGTCTATGTATTTTTAACTGTCAGACTGAGGTATTTCATCCTGTCACTGTCCATCTCACCCCTTCTTTCAACCCTCCATCCACCCAGCACCATTTCCTATGCAGAGAGCGTCCCATGACAGTTGTGATGGACCTGATTGCACGGACCAAGGATGCTGTTCGTGAGCTGGACAACCTTCAGTACCGGAAGATGAAGAAAATCCTCTTTCATGAGGCGCACAATGGTCCCGCACCTGAAGGAGGCGACGAGGAAGAGGTAAGAAAGGGTGATGACGTATCAACCCTGTAATGCTTTTATCCTATTTAATTTAAACAAGCCTCTAATATTGATCAGTGGACAGTTTTCTTTTCTTATTAGCGAAACCACAAAAAGAGTTTGCGCCCAGAAATGGCTAATGACATCAGACAG